TTATGGAAATCAGCGCACGGGGAGCAACTGTAATATTGACCAATCTTCTAGCCTCACATCGACTCGGCCTTGAGCAGGATGCAGACTGAGGTGGGAAATTTAATTTATCCAGATTTCTTGGTTGCACAAATATCGGATCTACCATATTAAGCCTGTAATTGCCAAACAGCTGTTGCGGAATTATGTGGGAGAGGCGGCCGTGTTGGTGATCTGTCAAACTGTAAGCAGACAGGATGAGAAAGATGCCAGCCTCCCTCGTGGCTCGTTAAGGTAATTACAAAAATGTTAAGAACAAAAGGAGCTGGCTCGATATAAGCAGCTCTTTGGTTCATCAGTGTTTTCCACCACCCTTAGCAGGATTGCAAGCAGTATTATTTTCCCAGTCCTACCTGGAGTTGCCAGAGGCAGAAACACAAACCTTTGCATTTGAGTTACGTATCCTTCCAGTGAACTGCAGCCATTCTCTGATCTCCATACTGTAGACAGCTTTTGGGATTAGTGGAAACGTTTGGAATTCCAAGACTGTGTCGTGGGCACTCTCACAAAATGGCTGCCACAGGGGGCCTGGCCAGTTACAAAATACCTATTTCCCAGAGGGCACATGGGTAAGATTTTAAGTAAGATAACTTGATCCGAATCTAAACAAAAAAATCCTACTCTTTTCAACCAAAATGGATAGACCTGGAGGATACCACTTGGATTTGAAACATTTCAGCCTCTCGATTAAAAATGTAAACACTTTAAATAAAACAAAATAAAACTAACAGGTACTATATTGGTTATACTAAATCGGGGGCCTCCAAAGTTTAGAACGTAATTATTTTCTAAACTCTGATGGTGGAGATACTCACATTCTTAATTGAGGTCAAAGTTCATCCTTACACCTGAAGACATATCATGAATGCATTATCATAAAGGCAATTGTGCCCTACATGGACAATCCTATGGAAATTCCCATTAAAAAAACAAAAGACAGTGAAACATACTTAAAACAAGGAATAGTGTTCAGCCAAGATGTAATTTGATTTATATAATTTAAATCTTGCTGGTAAATATATATCTAATGGAAACCCTACTGAATGTGTCATCGGCATTTCCTAAGCTTTTAAGAAGGGATTACAGAGAAAAATGAAAGTTACCGAACTGGCCAAATCCTGATCAACCAAGTTTATTTAGTCCAAAACAAAAAGCTAGGAAAGTAATACAGTTAATCCATTTGACATGCCAATGGGTCACAGAAAAAAACCTTGGGCAGAAATGGACGGATAAGATGGAATCTAAATAGCTAAAAGGTAGCAAGTTATATTCTCAAAAATCTGTATTTTAATTACTTTTATTCAGGCTCTAACAAGAGAATGCAGACCATGTTTTATCTCCATGGAAGACGACAGTTCTTAAATCCAGATTTAAGCCCATCCATTTTAATGAGATGTAGGCTGCAATTCTGTACAAACTTTCCAGGCAGAAAATTCCATTGAACTGGTATGATCAACGTGTATGAAAAAAACAGACATGAAGAAAAGGATGCTTTTCCAGTCGCTGCTCTCCAGAAGTGCTCCCATTAGACTGGCTGGAAATGATGGGGATTGTAGTCCAACAAATCTGGAGGGTTCCAAGTTAGAGTTGGCTGCTTTAAAGGGACTTCAGACAATTCTGCGTTCCAAGTCACAGCACTACATTAGCGAAAGAGGTGGCTGAACCAATCAATGGTCAAGATATGAAGAAACCAAGGTTGGAGGCAACTTTTGCCTTTTGTGCATTGGTTTATTTACACAATGATGTTGGTAGTCGCAAAATCGTGCCCAACCCATTGTGACCCCATGGACAACATTCCTCCAGGCTCTCCTGTCCTCCACCATCCCCCGGAGTCCACCCAAGCCCACACCTACTGCCACAGTGACCCCATCCAGCCACCTCATCCTCTGCCGCCCCTTCTCCTTTTGCCATCAATCGTTCCCAGCATCAGGGTCTTCTCCAGCGAGTCCTTCCTTCCCATTAGATGGCCAAAGTATTTGAGTCCAAATCTGGCCAACTATGGCCACCTGGAGTTGCTCAATATGGATTTTTGAGTGGCTTTCTGGCTTTTATATGCCCCCCACAATTTTATGAAATTAAAATGCTCATCCAAATACTGTTACTGGAACGCATCCCCCAGGAGCTTCTCCAAGACAGAATTTGGCCCTCAGAGTGACAAGGGTTCCCGCTTGACAAAGAATAAGTGTGCAAGTCTCCTGAGGCAGGGGATCCATCCACAAAGTAACACGAGGGAGAGAGGGCAGTCGGAGACTGGAAACAGAAATGTAGTAAACAGGGAAATTTATTTGTATTTATTGTTGTTGATTATTTATTTATATATTTATTTTTGGATGCGTATGCCTACTCAGGCTTTGCTATCAAAGGGCAAGGATCGGCACATGGCTAATAATTTTGATATAGCTTCTCTCCCTCAAGCACTGCATGTTAGCACTGTAAAAGCAGGCAAGAGAGAATTCACAGCAGGGATGGAAAGATCAGGTTGGAACCCAGCTCTCATACATGTACTGGGCCTCTTTCCCATGCTTGGCCCCGGCCAGGAAGTGAGCTGAGCCGAGCCAACTGAGCCAAGCACGAGCCTGGGAACACTCAGGAGCACTGCTGTGTGCAAGGTGTGTGATTCTTTGCACAAAGTGCACGAAGCCTGCAAGTCACGGGGGGGGGGGTGGAGAATGCTGCTTGAAATGTGACGGGGGAGATTCAGGAGCGAGGAAAGGAAGAACTCACACTGGCGTAGAGTTAAACTGTGGAATTCACTCCTGCGAGTCGTAGTGATGGCTTTAGAAAGCAGAGGGGCAGATTCTTGGAGAGAACGCTATCAAGGGCTACAGGCTATGCCCAAACAGAGGGAAGTAGGTTTATGTACAGCAGTCGCTGAGGAACATGGTCGAAGGGGTGCCACACACCCCTCTTGTGACTGGGGCCTTCCCACAGCCATCTGCTTGGCCACTGTGTGAACAAAATCCTGGACTAGGACTTCGGTGTGACCCAGCAGGGCTTCCCTTATGCCACCCATGTTTCCAGCAACAAGCAGACCAAGGCCCGGTTCGGACAATCACAGACTCCGATGGCTCCTTCCCCCGCGCGTGCACTGGCGCAGAGGAGCTTTGCAGAATTACCCTTGGCAGCATGGCTTGCCGGGACAGGTGAACCCAGGGGCAGGCAGGGAAGGTGCTCGGAGACCATTGCTTCAAGGTACCTCGACACTGCAGCTCCTGGGAGAACGTGCTTCCCTCGCCCTTCCATCAGACAAGAGGGGAAGTTTCAGGGACACCGGATGGCTTCTCTGTAGTTCTACCACCCTCTAGTACAGGGGTCGGCAACCTTTAACACTCAAAGAGCCATTTGGACCCATTTCCCACACAAAAGAAAACACCAGGAGCCGCAAAACCCTTCTGACATCTAAAGTGAGGATAACACTGCATATATCATTTTTTTTTAGTGCTAAAGGGCTGCATGCATTAAACAGAAAACCCCAGAAGTTCGTCAGCAGTAAAAGCAAATGAATCTATCCACGTTATCATTAAACGTTTGGTTTTCTTCAGAAACTTTTCTTCGATTTATCCATGGTTGGCCTACTGGGGGAAGTTGCAGATATAGGTGTGTTTAGTGACTGATTAGCAGATAAACAGTCAAGTCAGCTTTTATCATTCAGAGGAAGGAGATTACATTGGGACAAAGAGAATCTTTTCAGCAGCGTTTTGTGTAACATGAGAGCCTGCAGGAAGCTTGCTCCACTCTTTCCCTGCACAATAGCAGAGGAATGTCGCAATTTACTTAACCAGCTGGCAGGGCATTCCTGAGTGGACGCCTCATAACCTATTGGTATTTTGTAACTCGGTGCCTCAGTCGCAGATCGGCGGCTGTGCCGGCGCGTTTTGAGCGATGGAGCTGCGGCAGAGGGATTCAAGAGCCACATGCGGCTCCGGAGCCAGGGGTTGCCAACCCCTGCTCTAGTAGGATATAGGAACCAGAGAGATGGCTGACTGTTTCCTAGAGAAGGGAGCCAGCAGCGGAAAGGTGCAAAGTATTACTTATACCCCACCCTTTTTCCTTCTTGCAAGGAACCCAAGCTGGCTTAAATAATCTTCCTTTCCATTTTTGCCCTCGGAACAGCCCAGTGTGGTAGATTAGACCTCCAGGCATGAAGTAAGAAACCTGGTGGTTCTGAGAAATGGGTTCAAGTGATGGTTCAAGGACCGGCTCAGCTGTGCAGCACTGAGCTCGCACTAGCCTTCCACAGCCTTGGCTGAGCTCCAGGCACTGCCAGGTCACTGCTGGGGCCAGAGAAACAGGACTGACAACTCCCAGCGCAGAGCTGCAAGACCAGGGTGCTGAACTGCCTGGCAGCAACATCCTTGACTGGGTCCCTGCACTACAAGTGTGTTCATGTAGCCACTGATCCAAGGAGCTACAACTTTTTCCAGGATGCAAAATTTGTTACAGCTTTTGGAGGAATACCAGGATCGCATCTCCCAGATTCAGCTAGCATAAGTGGAACAGTTTTCCCTTGCGAGAGACAACGGATGGATCTTAATCGGATGCCTCTATAAACACACATTTGCATTTCACATACTCTCACGCTCACATACGCAAGCTCCTGTGCTCAATGATATGTGCATCACACAGACAGTTCATTTGCAAATTCCTTGGACTGCAACAATTTTGATGCTCCCAATAGAAGCTTCCCAAAGACAATGGAAGGTTGCAAGAATTCTGACTTATCTAGTGCTTAAACCATTTTGTTGGCACTTCCAAAGTGCTTCCAAAGTTCATGCTTCAAAAGCTGGGGAGAAATAATGTCTCAACTCATTACACTTCTGTGTTTGCAACAGAGTTATTAAGCTCACAGTCCAAAACAGAAGGGGAAAACACATACTTATTGGACAAATGGATTTACTGCAGAAACACAAGAACATATGAGAAATGCTACATTTTACAAATGCAGATAAAAAAAACCTACCTTTTCTCACCATAATTAGTAAGAATAAGAAGGAAGAGCTGCAAAGGAACGGCTTTGCAACATATATTCAGAATCAACAAGGCAGTCCTGTAGAACTCGCTTCTCTGCATGGCTGTTCAGGACGCCAGTCCCAGGTCTTGCACGATCCCACAGCGTCTCAGCAAATGGCATAGCGAACAAGTCGGGAGCCACGGATCTCGCGCACTCGCTGGCAATGCCGCAAGATGGTCAGGATGCTATGGAAACGCTTGTCTGCCTTCAGTTGTGTGAACTCTTCGATGTCGGCCTCCACGATAAAAAATTCACCTGGGACAAACAGACAATGTTTGATGGGGAAGGAGAGTATCTCAAAAGCAGCTCAAAGGTTCTGCAGGGTTTGTCTAGACAAACAGTCTATGGCCGGTTGATTGCTGATCATGGCTGGTCCCAGAGAATCCTGGGAAGCGTAGTCGGCCCAGGTACTGAGGACTGTGTTCAAGATCCCAAGCCCCTCCCACAGAAAAGACTCCAATTGGTTTAACAAAGCTGAAGAAGTGTAGATACGCCCCTTAATGCAGGGTGGAAGGACAGTTCTCCACTACGTTTTCCTCTTACAGAGGGGTGGCTGTATTTTTCTGGCCTACAGAATGATCTGGCAGAGGTCCAGGGGTGCGTGATGGCGGTTACCTCTCCCAAGCCTTTGAATCTAAGCCACAGACTGGTAGAGCCTTGGTCTCTTTTCAGGAAGGACAGCTGCCATCCGAGAAGTACCCACTACCAGCACTATGCACTATGTACCACTACCAGCACTATGGTCGGCAGAGAGCCATTCACCAATGCTGCAGCCACCTCCAGGTTTCTTCAAGCTGGAAATACCATTCACAACTGGAGCACGCTTATTCCACCTTCCTCCCAAAGAGCACCTTGCCGTGTCTGTTTCTGTGAATCCCTCGAAGTGGAGAACCTTCCCTATTATCTATTGCTCCCTATACAGAGAACTGAGAGACACATTTCTGACTGGCATTTTATCTGCTAGAAATGCATGGCCTGATCTTGAGGAAATAGTATTTCTGTTATCAGACTTGGATGCACATGTGTCATACAGAGTCTCTCTCTTTGCCTTTGCAGCTAAGAAGATAAGATCTAGGGAGGTTTCATAGGGGTTAGTTTCTTGATGCATGACTGGTCTGTCTTTTTTCTTTTTATCCCCTTTTAACTATCCCAGTTTTAATTGACTTGTCCTATCAGTTTTAAGGTTCTCTTTGGTTAAATTAAAATTGCTCTGTCAATTTGTGATGGCCTATAGCTTAATATAATAAGCTACCTACCTACCTACCTAAGAGCTCCTCATCACATTCCCATGGTCTCCTGCCCAGAAGATGCTCACAAACACCCCTGTGAGGTAGGCCAGGCTGGGAGTCCCCCCATGGAGATGCAAGGCCAAGTGAGGAAGTGAGCCGGGATCTCCCAAGCAGGGCCTGTCCCACGCTTCTACAGCACACATCAAGTGCTCTTTTCGGACGGAATGCTCAATTCCCAGACCAAGTCATTGCTGGAGATGTGGGATTGGGAGGCAATTACGTGCAGCCACAGTTGGCTCTTCCAAGCAGCTCAAGCCAGGCAAGGCAGCTCCGGTGGCGTCTTTCCAGTTGCAAAGGCCAAGGCTGCGCAAGGAAAGGAGGGAATTTGGAGGCAGAGCAGACAGGTGGCCTGCCAGGGCAGCCGTGCGCTCTGCCACTTCCAGTATTCTGCTCTGAGACAATTATTTGGAGCGCAAACCTTGAACAAAGAATTTTGCTGTGCAGAGCGGAGAGAGAACCACGGAGCTTTTGAGAGTGGAAGCGAGCGGGCCAACACGGGAAGCTCTCTTGTGTGGGGCCAGAACATCTGTGCAGCTGAGAGCACCTGAGCGGTATAGTGCTCGGGGTGATGGACTGGGATCCAGGACATCTGTGTTCCAGTCCCCACTCGGCTGCACAGCTCACTGGGCAACTGTGGGCCAGTCACTAATTTTCAGTCTGACCTACCTCACAGGGTTGTTGTGAGGATAAAATTGAGAGGAAGAGAAGAATTAGGCAAGCCACCTTGAGTTCCTTGAAGGAAAAAAAGCAGGAAAAAAACAAATAATTCCATGCTGTCAGGTAGAGCCCTTTCCTGTTACTCATGAATGCCAAGCTCAGCATTTTTCTAACTTACTGGTTTTTCGGCGCCAGGTAAAGACCTTTTTATTTAAACATCGTTTTAATTGTTAAAACATATGATCTGGCCAGGGCAACTTCTTCTTCCTTCTCTTTTCTCCTCCTATACTATTTATTTACTTATTTTATACTGATAATTTTAATTTTTATATTATTGTGTTTGTAACTCAGTGTATTTTTTTGTATTTTTGTATTTAATGGTAATTTATTATGTTCTATTTTATTTCAATGTATTTTATTGTGTTGTAAGCCGCCCCGAGGCTTCGGCAAGGGGCGGCATAGAAATGTTATAATAATAATAATAATAATAATAATAATAATAATAATAACAACAACAACAACAACAACAACAACAACAGAGCTTCTATCTTTGTCTGTCTTTTCACCCTCCCGGTCTTCTTTTGTATACCTGAGATTTCCTAACACATTTTCTAAGGACAGGCATCAAACCCGGAGGATCTTCCGGCTGAAGTTCCAGAACAGGAGGGACTATCATCAACAGATGACTGGATGTAAAGTTACCTTTCGTATCCTTGGTTTCTTCTTCCTGGAATCTGAAGTAGAGGTTCCTGACAGCAGCAGTCATGGATTTAGTAGGCTGACGCATAATCTTGTACTTGCTCGTAACTGCCTTGTTAATTTCTTGAATGACAGCATTGACTTGGCTATACGTTAGTCGGCCGCGCATGTACCTTTGGGAGGGGAAAAAGCAATTTACTGTTACCTGGCAGGTCACAGGTACCGCAGAATGGTGCCAAAGCTTTTCCCACAGCAGACATACCGAATGAGGTTCATTATATGTTTGTGTCTGATGTCTGCATGTAAAGTGTTTCCCCCAGAAAACTCAAAGATATACTGGCAGCAAAAGGCCACATTTAGGACTTGGATCCACCCCTCCTGGAAAAAAGCCTTCCTTCCAAGGCTGTGGAATCAGATTCTGAGACGGAATCGGCAGCCTAAATGCCAAAAGATCCTGAGATGAGCCAGGCGGCCAGGGGAAAGTTTGTGAGCCGGCTACTGTGGAGGGTGATACGCCAGCACCATTAACTGGAGGATGCAAGTGGAAGGCTAAGACGGCAGAGTTGTTCAGAAGCATCCGATGCGTCCAGTGATTGGTCCTTATGGAAGAGGATCCACTGGAAGGTATGGTTTCCTCTTTTCAGTCTGGAAGGGAATGGAAGTATTGTTTGGAATCAGCTTCCTAACTTTAAGCTGCATTTTCCCTAAGGGCTTGTATTCAAACGGTGCTAGTTTCTGCCATAATTTGTACTACTAATAATTTAATAATTATTAAATTAATAAATGTACATAATTTGTACATAATTTGTAAGCCAGCCTAGTGGGCCTGCTTTAGCATAATAAACCTCTTTGTTAGAAAGGCTTTCTCCAGGTCTGCTTGCAAGGAAGGGGGGAAGATCAAGTTGCTCAAGATGACCATGAAACATGAAAAGATCATCCAAAAGTCCCCTGCAGGGCTAGTTTGTGCGTCAGAAGCAAATCTAGTGCAAAGTCTATTATACTGCAGCAGATCTTCAGATTATTTTCCTCTTCCCTGCATGCTGTTTCCTCCCCAATCTGGTATCAAATCAAGATGGAACTGGCTGTTAGGCACCTCCGGCAATATTACCTAGCCAACCCGGAAAAACCTTGCATTTCAAGCACTGTTAAGGTATGTGGACATCAGTTACGGATCGCAAGATCAAAAAGCATTTGCTGTTAATAGATGCAGACGCCTCCATCTGCCCACACAGAGAGGCCAAGAGACCAGACTGGATACTGCAAGCAGGAGACACAGAGACGAGTCAGTGGCAAGAAGCAGACGGGGGAATAATCTGCAGCGACGAAAGCTGAGAACTGGGGGAGAAGGAAGGAAGATTTCAAATGCAGAGACAAACTGGGGGGGCGGGGGCGGGGGAAGAAGTGTAGTTTATTAGGGTACTACGGCTGCTTGTTTCTCTGAACAGAAATGTGGTTGAGTTCAGACAACTGATAAGCCATGTTTCAACAACCACGCATGGTGTAATGTCGACCCACACTCAACCCTAGAAGGTGGGCTTTCTATTGTCTTAGTCCAACCACTGGTTGCTGCTGAGCCTTACCTGTAAATGCATTCAAGTCACCCACCAGCTGTGGCTGCAGCGACAGATTCTCTTGAAGGCCCTCTGGTCCAAGACCATTTCTGTGCCACGCACCTGCGCTGAATCTCTTCTCTCCTAGTCCTGATGATTGTGGGGATCTCTGCCCCATCACTCCTTCCTGCCTGCCCTCCCCGAATTAAGAGGGGGGCTAGCCACCCCATGGACCCAGCACGTCCAAGGAACGTGTGAGGGGCATGTGGCGAGGCTGAGTCCCCCTCAGAGGAGACATTCTTGGAGGGAAAGAGGGTTGCAAAGCGGAGGCATTTTATGTACGCCATCCCTTGACTCGTTTACATAACCAGCACCGAAGAGCAGCTCGGTGGCACGAAGCGTGGTGGAGAAAAGCAGAAAAAGAGGAAGAGCAACATGGAGAAAGCAAAGCCCTGTCTGAAACGGGAGCCATGGGTAATTCTGTCTCATTCATTGCTCCAGCGTCAGAAGCCGTTCGGCAGCTTGTGCGCTGCAGCAAACCCTGGCGCTGGACTGCACTAACTTTTCATTTGGCTCCGCATTAAGCCCGCGAGGGGCAGAACAAACCTGGTGCCTCAGCTGTGTACAGCCCCCTTGTGCGTTGCAAATGAAGAGCATCCACCACCGTCTTAGGTGAAAAAGTGAGCAGACAGAAAGCCAAAAGGAGGGGGGAACGGGCCGTTCAGAAATGGAAACTGCCAGTGCAGCTGAGGTGGGGCTGCCAGCACAACAAGAAAGAGGTAAGAGAGGGATGGCAAAACCGGTCCTTTTTGAAGCGCTTGTGCACACACGCACGCACACAAGCAATCGCAAGACAGGGAATACGCAGTGGAAAGTCAGCACGGCAGTGTGGTTAGAATGCTGGGCTGGGTTCTAGTCCTCATGGCCATGAAGCTCACGGAGTGACTTTCGGCCAGTCACACACTCAGCCAGCCTACCTCACAGGGTGTTGTGGTGATAAAATGGAGCTGTGGAAGCCATCTTGATTTCCTTGCAAAAGGAAGGCAGTATGCCATGGGTCCTCAAACTATGGCCCACGGGCCAGATCCAGCCCGCCATGCTCATTTATCTGAGCTGCCTCAGAGGTTTTGGACTCGCTCGGAGAAAATGATCTCCGAGCAAGTCCAAAAGCCCTGAGTCAGTGCAGACGTTCTTTGAAACTGAGCAGAGAGCCGGCACACGAGCCTAACTGTAAAAGCTCAACTGCGCGTGTGCCAGCTCCCCCCGCCCCCCTCGGCATGCATATACAGAGTGGGAATACGGAGCAGGAAACAGAAGAGAGTTGGGTGGGAGAGAGAGAAGACGCTAAAAAAGGATTGAAGGTAAGAAAAATATAACTTTTAAAATCTATTTTTAATTATGTGAGCCACGTCCATGGGCTGCGGGCCAAGCCGCAGCCACCTTGCCAAGCCTGGGGGCTGCCGCTCGGCAGCGGCAACAGCTTGCCCATAGAGGGCTGCCCCCGGGCTCGGCAAGGTGATCACTGCTTGCGGCAGGGGAGCCGTGGCCTTCAGTGGGGGAGCTGCCGCCACCATCAAGCGGCTGCCCCTGGGCTTGGTGGGCGCGGAGCAAACATTTTAAAATTAATTTTAATTGATTTTAATTTTTAATTATTTTTTAATGTGCAGTGTACATAGGAATTCATTCATATTTTTTTCAAACTATAGTCCAATCCCTCCAACAGTCTGAGGGACAGTGAACTGGCCCTCTGATTAAAAAGTTTGAGAACCCCTGCAGTATGCAAATACAAAATAATAATTAACAATAATAATAATAGCAACAAGTAGAGGAAAACCTGAAAGTCAGAACAAAAAAGGCTGGGCATCAGCCAAGTATAGGTGCATTTGAGAACCAGCTGCTTCAGCCACCCCCTCAATCATTCCTAGGTACCAAGGGATCCAAAATATGCAATTTACAAGAAAAAGTGTTACCGAGTTGAAGTAACACTTCTCAACACCAGGGGGCGATATTAGAGCACCTAAGTGGCCACTCTGGAGGAAAAGGGAAAATTTGGTTTTATTGGTATGGCAGTTCACTTGTTGGACATGGGAGCTTCACGTTCTAGTCCTCACTTAGGCATGAAACTCACTGGCTGACTTTGGACTGGTCAGCCACTCTCAGCCTAGCACACCTCATAGGGCTGTTGTCGTGAGGATAACAGAGCGTGAAGGACCATGTTCTGGGCCACTCACAAAAGGAAAAAAGGTGGGATAGAAATGTAGTCATATTAATAGTGACTCTTGGGACATGGATGGCTTTCAAAAAGAAAAAATCCAGGCTGTGGATTGCCCTTTGGGTTTTCATACAGGAGACTCCTTGGAGCTGTCCAAAACATGAGCTGGGCCATGGTTCAATATTTATTAGATTTATAACCAGCTTCTTTCCTTACAAAGAATTCTAAGCAGCTTCCACCATTCTCCTGCTCCTGTTCTCAATCTTATCCCCACAACAACAACCCTGTGAGGTAGGCTGGGCTGAGTGTCTGTGACTGGCCCGAATTCATAGCTGCCAGGGATGTCCAGTCTCCCTTTTCAATTGCAGTATTCACTGGGACACTGGAGGAAAAACTCTGAAAGACCAACTTAATTCAAACGAAAACATACTGACATCAAAGGTGCAGTCCAATGCATATTAAAACAGAAATAAGTCATACAGGCCCCAACACTGCTCAGCCAGACCTTTTCCTGCCTACACATCCATAGCATTGCGCCCTATGGCAGGGATAGGTGGAAGAAAAGATGTTTTGGATTTCAGCTCACAGAATTCCTTGCCAGCATCAACAAGGGGCAGGAATTTTGGTAGCTGGACGTCCAAAACACCGGCAGTTCTAATTCTGCCCACCCTGATCCAGATTCATGCCTCTCCAAATGCTGGTGTGTTGCAATCCCTAACTTTTTATGCTGGCTAGGAATGATGGGTGATGTAGTCCAGCAGCAGCCAGAGGGTCACGTATTCCCCATCCTGGTCTAAAGGGCAGCAGTCACGCTTTCTGATCACGGACTTCCGTCTGCTTGGGCAGCTGGAGTCAAAGGGAAGACTTTTAAAATATACCAATAAAGAAGTACGGAAGCTCCAGTTCTAGAACTTTTTAGCAGCGCTATCAGAGCCGTTTGCTGGGACAACAGGGCTGTCATCCCGGACTGAGACTGGGAGGTGGGGAAGGACACAAAAGACTGAGAAATGAGAAAGAGTGTGACCATACTGGGCTAGAGGGACCCGTGGGCTGATGCGACATAAAGCAGCTTCCTACATTCCTAGACCCATGATGTGAAGAGTCCTTGGGGGTCAGCTGGTCCAACTTCCTGTCCTACCTTATGACCCTGCTTGGATTCTTATTTTGTGAGTGCAGGCCGTTGCATTTATCTACGCTGCAAGGCGCTCCATCCATTTCAGAGCCCAGCGTTTGGGATCTTGATTCCGTCTTCTGATAGAGCGGTGGGCAGAGGGAAGACCAGCACCCAGCTGGGGCTCCAGTGCCCAGAAGATCTGGCCAATGTGACCGAATGTGACCCTGTCCCTCTGAGCTTTGTGCCATCAGCTAGTTTGATAAGCACCCTGCTCCACAGTCATTTCTACAAATGTATACAGAACAGTGATACTCCACGCAAGACCGAGCCGTCCGGGGGCCCTCGGTGTTGCTATTCAAGCAGCTGTAGGAATCCAGCTCATGGCAGAATCACCCAACCCATTGCGAGGTCTGGGCACCTTTATGAGAAGCAAACAAACCGCTCGCCTCCATCTGTGTGTGCTTAACATTTCCGGATGGACCTGAGCACACACTTTTCATTCAGACTGAGCAGGAGAAACAAGGAAAAAGTTGGGTTTTTTGTTCCACCATGTAATGGTGATACTACAACACACAAAACCCCTTGTAAATGATATTTTTAAAAAGAGGAAGAAGAAATCTGGAAGAGAGAACTGAGCGGCAGAGGAAGTTCACTTGCTGATCGGAAATAACCAAACTGCCTGTGGTACTAAAACGCAGTCAACCTGGCCAGGGCGACTTATTTTATATTGTTAATTTGTTTTATATTTTGAATGTATTATATTTTAATTTTATGTTGTGAGCCGCCTCGAGGCTTTGGCGAACGGGGCGGCATAGAAATGTTTTAAATAAATAAACAAATAAATAAACCTTTGTGCTCCGATTCGCTAATTGAGGCAAAATCCCTACTTACGCAGGAACACTCTCAAACTCCTCGGCCGTTAGGAAGGGCGCCTCTTTAATGCACTTGGCCTCTTTTGCAGGCTTCCTTGCACGAGGAGCCTCTGCCTCTTTGCCCTGCTCTTCTTTCTTCAAAGTTAAGTCCACAGAGCTGCAAGGAAAGGAGAGAGAGCTCAGCAGGCGGGCAGGCGGGCGGGCGTAAGTGTGCTGGCCACGTTTCCGGCCTGTGCTGCTGATTTACTCCCATACCAGCTGCGTTTACTGAAATTGTTCTTTCCTCCTGACTTTCCAGGGGGTTTCGCTAGGGAGGAAAAATTCAGGAGATGGTAGCAAGACCGACTTCTCACTTGGCAAGTGGAGAGGTGGGGAAACTTCTCCAACCATGGATAGTTCAGTGCAGACATGGTGCTTAATCATGGTTTGCAGGCAGTCCCTAGCCACAGCTTGGAATGTTTGGACAGAGTGCCTAAAACTAATCAGTGATCAACTTTATTTAAACCCCACCTTTCTTCCAAAAGAAGAGCACTCAAGGGGGTTTAGAGTGACACTTAAAATGTGTTCTAACAAATGCAATATATACATTTATTGCAACTATTAATGCATTAACAGCATAAAAACTGCAGAATAAAAATTAAAAGCTAAATTAAAAAAATATTGCAGCAAATTTTATGGGCTGGGGGCTATGCCATCCGATCAATTGTTCCAGCTTTTAAAAATACGTAACACAATCAGGTAACTTTTTCTCTACCTTAAGACTTGTACCTTAAGTCTTACAAGTCACATATCAGCATTATTCCTATTGCATTGCATTTCTATCCCACCTTTTTCCTCTTGCAAGGAAACTGATGCAGCATCCAAAGCTCCGTTTTACCCTCACAACCACCCTGGGAGGCAGGTCATGCTGAAAGAGTGACCGGCCTGAGCTTCATGGGCATCGGGACTACAGTCCAGATCTCCTGGATCCCCAGTCCGCATTCTCACAACACTTAGCCCAGTGTTGTCAACATTAACTGGCAGCAATGGGTCTGCAGGTTTCAGGCAAGAGTTTTTGCAGCCCTACCTAGAGATTAAAGCAGGAATCCTCCACATGCACGCTACAACCAACACCAGAGAAGCACCGCTCAGTCTCTTACTGGCCTCTGCTGTCCTGTTTTGTTTTTCAAACTCCACCTTTCTAGCCTTCAAGGTGGTTTCACTTCCCCCTCCCTTACTCAGAACAGGACAACTACCTCACTCATGAAATTTGAGTTCATTCGTTCATTCCCAAAATGTCTAATTTCCGATCAAGAAACTCCAGAACCATATTAATGGGGGAATCATCATGTATAAATGAGCATGTTCCAATGCCTGGCTCGGCTATATAAATGTTGATTTGCATCCCTGGCTTACTATGATGCCTGCCTCAATAACAGAAAATATACCTGTTTGGGATTGCTTTGGGCAGGTGAATGGGTATGTTTTCTTCAAGATGCTGAATTTCATTATAGTCCCTCTCGATCGATTCCTGGAGCTCCTGTAATTAATAAAAGGCATCGGCAGGTTGCACAGGCTGAAAACACGCTGAATATGACTAATGTGAGTGGAACAGTATGTTACTTTTATGAAAAAGGAACCACCCCCCCCCCCCCCCGCCTTAGTTCCACTTGCCCTGAACTTCTGGGTAGAATCGCCAATATTATTTATTTATTACATGAATTTATACCCCATCCTATTGCTTCAAGCGCTCAGGATGGCTTACAAAATATATAAAAATACAATATAAAACTATAAAAACATTATTAAAACAATATAAAACATCACTATAAAATGCAACTGTGTAAAAGGGGAAAAATAAAATCCTAAAACCTCTAAAAACATTGTTAAAATAACGATCAAATAAAAAGGTCTTTACCTGGTGCCGGAAAGAATATAGTGTCGGCACCAGGCAGATCTTTCTGGGGAGCAGATTCCATAGTCTTCCAATATCAGGGAAGTGCATGCAATTCAAAAAAACAGAACAAAAAGCTTATGGCTCAACCCCATCACGACCAAATTGGATTATGTTCCAAGCTGTCATCTGTAAATTTCCGTTTAAGTCATGCATAAAGCTTGTTTTTGTCAGTAAGCAGGTCCCACAAGCACGTAAGGTCTCAATCCATACTTCATTTTGCTGTGGTCAGAGGGCATCCCATAAACATTTCAATAATTGATTTTATTTTCTGTAAAATTTAACTGAAATTAATTTTATAGTGTTTTAGAATTTTAACTTACCCTGTTCCAACTTCTCACTTCAGTCCCTAACTCCCAGCTGTATATTGTTGTATATCGTCACATATTATGTATATTGATGTTTAATTGTTAATTTATTGCTAAATTTAGATATACTGTTATTTTTTCTCATTGTCTTTATCAGTATAGTTGTTCTGTTTTTCTGTAATCCCCTGAAAGAGTCATTTTGGACTATTTGTCAAAGAATATAACTTTAATACTAAATAAATATATAGATATACATAGAAAAATTCAGTCTGCGTGAGGGTTGGCTCAGGAAATTGAAGCAAAATAGAGCAGGTTAGATTGTAGATATAAAACCTCAGTGCAAATCTTGATCTAAGGGTCCATGGTTCAAGATATTGCTTCAAACGGGCACAGCAGATGATTTAAAATGCTTTTCTCTATTTGTCTCACCTGTTACTGCATTCAAAATTATATTTGATCAGGATCAAGCCACAAATAATCTTAAGGGGGTGTGTTACCACAGAAAAAAGTTAAGCAGTTTTGTAGGGAACCTCTAGATTCTTATACAGCAGGCAAGGAAGAAGTGTCCCAAGGGGGTACCAAAGGGGTACCAAAAGTACAGTTCCTCCTGCAGAGCTTTGCCCACATACTCATTACTTCCAATTTGCAGGAGGTGGCTACCTTCTAAGTATGCCAATGATTTCCAGTAAAGCAGTTTTGTTCAAGTCCACGCTACATTCTGCAAAATATCCCTGAAACTTGGTTTAATTTAATTAAACAATGCCCGTGAAAGACAGGCATTTGGGATGATGCTCAGATCCCTAAGTGTCTCTAAAACAGAAAGTACCCAAGCTTCATTTCTAGCAGACCCAGTGCCAAGATCTCTCTAAAACACCCCCTCCTATTGCAAAGGGAAATCCTCCCATTAAGTCCTCCAATAGTGCTGAACGTTCGCCCAACAATGACTTAGAGAGGTCAATATCTGGAGATATCCAGGGTTTGATGGCTCCGTTATGCATGCTTTTCCCAAAGTGGTTCCACATTCCTGAATGAACGGATATACCTACCCACCCCTTAGGATCAGCCCAGGTTGCCCTTCTATGAGAGCCACCCCTCAGGGAAATGAGAGGGGTGGCAAATAGGTGAAGGGCCTTTGCTGCTGCTCCGGCCCCCCATCTCTGGAGCTCCCTCCCCTAGAGAAATTTGCCTGGTGCCATCTTTTCAGTGCCAGGCGAAGACGTACCTTTTACAAAAAATAAGAGCCTAATCCCTCTGTACTGATGAAACTTTTTATATTAGTTTTTGTAGTTTTTAATGTTGTATGTTTTTATTCTTTTAACTGTTTTTATGTGAGCCACCTAGGGTCGCCATTTTGGCCATTATAGGTGTCAAATAAATATGCGGATGAAAAGGGGGACCACCATTCCTGTTATTGGCTACCTTGAGTTGATTTTGCTGTCCTTCCTGACGGTGGCATTCGAGCTCCAGTTGATTCAGGAGATCATTCAGGAGATACATCTCGTGGGCTATCTTACCGAGCACCGTCTTCAGAGATGGGTCCTTGTCTGACAAATGAGATGAATTGTAGACAAAGAAAAAAGAGAGGGAGTTCTCACCAGAAATTGGTGTACATTAAACACACGTCACAGCTTCCATCTGTTTTCAATTGTATTCCTGCTTTCTAAGGGCCTCCTTGCCACCTGAAATCCCACAAGGCAATTGTTACCATCCAACTACAATTCTCACATAACCAAGATGCACCCCAAACCTCACTTAAGCCTTTAGTGGTATCCCCTTTAGTCACTTTTTGACACCAATAAAAATACAGGTAAAGACATTTTATTTTTATTTATTTATTTATTTAAACATTTTTATGCCGCCCCATTCGCCGAAACCTCGGGGCGGCTTACAACAATAAATAAAACCACATAAATTAAAATATACATATAGAATAGTAATAATAATTTAAAATACAATATACACACAATATAAAATAAGCTGCCCTGGCCAGATAAAATTCAGTAGTATTAACATTTAAAATCTTGCTTAAATAAAAAGGTCTTTGCCTGGCGCCGAAAAACAAATAACGACGGCGCCAGGTGGACCTCTCTGGGGAACGCATTCCATAACTTAGGCGCCACCGCTGAGAAAGCCCTCCTCCGAGTAGCCACCCTCCTAATTTCTTTCACGGAGGGCTCCCAGAGAAGGGCCTCTCCCGACGATCTCAGGGGGCGACTGGGCATATATGGATGTAAGCGCTCCTTCAGGTAACCATTACCTGAATAATAAGCAGACATTGCTGCTTATTATTATTATTATTATTATTATTATTATTATTATTATTAGAACATTTCTATGTTGCTTATGTTGGTACCCAGTTCCAAGAGCTCTTACAAAATAGTATTAGTGATAGATAAGCTGCAGTTAATACATATGGCCTGAAAATATTGCAAACATTGCACCATCTTACCCATCTTTCTCAACTGAAGTGACTTTTTGATAATTGAAATCTTGGTGTTGATGTGACAGCTTAAGCCATTTAAATCCATAGAAGCCATCTCATATTTTTCTCCTTTAAAAAGACAAAAATATTAATTCTAAATATTACAGCAATTAAGACTATTCATGAAAATCAGGACTATTTCTAACAGCTTTTTTTGTAACAACCCTGGAAAAGAAGCTTGGAAGGGGGGCATGATTCAGCAACAGCATTTTGCCACCAAGTGCCTTGGGTGAAGAGGGGGTAGGTAATCCCAAACAGCAACTCATTTAAACTTTTGCCTTCTATACATTGAGGGTTAAGTTATGTTTGAGCTCATGCGCGACTCAAAAAATTATTTTCAGAGCCGGCACTGATCCAAGGCCTTCCACACACAAACCCACCTTACCTTCACCGAACCTCTCTTTGTTTCAGCAACCTAATCAACGGGGCTTGCTTCTGAGTAAACTTGCACTCTCACCTTGCATGGCTACTTTGGCTTTGCTTTGCTTGCTTTCTTGGCAGCTGCCCTCTGGGAAAGCCCTGGGAGCCAGAAACTCCTACGGATCTATTGCAAATCACCCGTGCGTTTGCTCTTTGAGCTTGATCGACCTTCCTCCAGGAGGCATATTAACCCTGGAATACTGACTCTAATAAGGAAAATGCAACAATTCACTTTTCAGCAAGGAAAAAGCACCACTGCCTCACCAATGGCAGCGCGGTGCTGCGCATCGTCCTCCTTTTCCCCTTCCATAGCCAGGCTGGTTATCCCCGGACCGGCAACGGGGCTACCCGCGCCCTTTCGCTGCAGCTCCAGCTGCGAAGATTCAAATCACCCGCCCGAGCCTTTGGCCGCTGGATCTCACGAGAACACAGAAGTCTCGCGCTGGAGGTCCTTGCGTACAGAAGCGTCGTTCCTGCCGCTTTCACCATAGAGATCAGGATAGAGACATCTAGAGTGGCACAGAGACGCCTAGAGAAAGAGAAGGGGTAGAGTCGCACATTCACCCAACCCACTTTGACTCGCTTTTAGGCGTGGCATGTTGATTGTGTGCACGCTACCTGTAAAAGCTTCTGCGAGACAGTCCATGGAGCTTGCGTTCTACTTGGGAGTAGGTCCCATAGAATGCGACGGGCTTCCCTCTGGTTAATTTATTTATTAGATTTATATCCCGCCTGTTTTCCTACAAAGAACTCAGAGCAGCTTGAATCATTCTCTTCTTCTGTTCTCAGTCGCCTCCTCACAACCACAGCCTTGCGATGTAGGTTGGGCTGGAAGTCTGTGACTGTCCCAAGTCAGTCCATGGTGACTCCATGGCTGAATAGGGACTGGAACTGAGATCTTCGAAGTCCCAATTCTGTGCTCTTGACTACTACACTACAGTGGCTCAGTCATAGTGTTGCAATGATTGCTATTTAATATTTTGACTCTCCCACCCTTGAAAACTAAGAGCAGCTGCTGAGAAAAAAAAATAACGAGAGAGTTGTGTAAACTTCACTACTGTATGTTAAAGCTTCCTGTAATATCTCTGTTGATTAAAAGGTTGGCCATTGTTAGTGTCCAGTGACACCTACTGCAAACTCCTGAATTTCTCAGTATCACAAGCAGCTGTTATTAAATCTAACAAGCACAATAACTTCGTTTTTTCAAGGAAAGAAAAAACGCTCAACAGCAACTGGGAAGTCCCATTTCAGACAATGGCACTGTTTTTCTACACTAATTAGTCTATAAATTTTCCAGCATTCAGAGTGGTGTCACTACCTCCATTGACACTCCTATATTCAAAGTTCTATAGCCTATTCAACATATTATACGTAAACTTTACCGTAGAGACTTGAATTATAGAGCGGCTTCCTGTTTCTTCTCCTGCCCTGCGATAGAGTCGCACATGCTATTAACCCCTCGAGGCCAAGTAGTTATCAAAGAAATCAGCGCCTGGAGTGACTTTATTATTATTTCCAAATTTGCATCTACGCACACAACCAACCACACGCACAGCCCCTAATTGGAATCTCCCCCTCATTTTACTTATTATATCCCACTTTCTACCATTGTGGGGCTCAAGGGGGCTCCATGGGAGATGGTGGTCTTGGGATGCATGATCCCGCTTGTGACAATTCACAAGTGGCCACCCTCCTGGGACCCAACTCTGGAGCAAACTCTTCTAGGGGAAGGGAGCAGAAAATGGGAACAGCAGTGACTCAACACCCCCCCCCCCCCAGCTAAAGGAAGGGCTGGCGAGTGTCTGAGTGCTTGCCAGCCTTTTGCACTGAAGTGCTGACCTCCACGACTGTTTCGAGAAGCAACAGCAGTGGCCAGCCCTCTCCCCTGCCCCAGCATCACACCTCCAAGCCAGAGCGAGGCCCCATGCCAGCTTCAGCCACTCCCACTAGTATTTGTCCTCCTTCCGCTCAAGTGTGGTTCAAGGCAAACTGCACTCTCTGGGGCAAATAGTTTGGGAGGGGTGCATGCCAGCGGGAAGGGCTTGCACAGAAAACTGAGGGAAGTTTTGTGTTTGGCTTGAGAATGCAGCACCAGGTTGAGCCCAAGTGCAGAATCAGGCACTTTTTTAAAAAACAGCTTGCTTGGCTCTGAGGGAGAAAGCACATTTAGACATGAGGCAAAGAGATGGCAAACCCCCTGAAGATGCTGCTTCACTTAAAGGGCCAAAACTGATGTGAGTTTCCTGTCAAGCAACCATAGGTGCAATCCATGAAGCATGGTAGAAGTTACGGTGGCGGCAGTGTCCTAGTCTGGCTACACATGCATAGGATGTCTTTTTATTTACTTATTCTCCCATTTTTTCATTTTAGGGTAGGCACAGAGCCCCCAGTCCACACCAGGATCCTTGTGTGGTGTTTTATGATCTGGATGAGGGCCACTTCATCTGTTGTAGGGTAAAAATGAAAGAAGGCAGAGCTGTTAATCTGAGTTTCAAGTGATGTCTGTTTTGGTCCAGGGACCTGAAGGACTTTTGAGATAGTGCATCTGCTCCTTTGCTGAAGTTCCAGACTTTATTTGTAAATAAAAGGAAGTGTTAAAAGTGCACCTTATGTTTCCATTGTTTCCTTTTTAAAAAGAAAATCAAAATAGTAGTAGCACTTCTCCAGGACATAACCTTCTTCAGGAATGCAAGACACATGGAATAATTTATTTGGCTCTCTTAGCATGAGGTCTCTTTTATGAAGGAATTTTATGTCCCCAGCCATTTCATACCAGTTTTGTATTAAATGCATTACTACATAATTATTTTAAAGGTTTTATTTCAACTTAAGTACCTTCAACACTTTAATCCAAGTAGTTTTTACAGCTCTCAAGTATTAAACCAAAATGGTTTGGAAAACAAGTGATCATATATCTCACTGGCACATGTCTAACTGATTAGTTCTCCTTACAAAAGCATGAAGTTTATTATATATTTAAATACACAACAGCTCAGAAACATGCAAAACAAGCCACAACATAAAGCTTGCACTGCATTGCATTTTCACTAGGATACCCTTATGCTGAAGCGGCCATTCAAATCTTACTCATTTGGAACAGCCTCTATTTTCTCTGTGCAGTCTAAGAATCTAGGATGCAAGCAAGTTTCCACCGATAGTGAAGTTAAAGTTGTGTCACATGCTCAATTAGTTCCAGACAGACAGATTCCAGCACACACATAATCATTCCACTGTGAGCAACTACTGTAGGTTCTGGATTAGGCCCAATAAACCCAATCTAGCCAGGAGTTTTCATTTATACCCTAAAAGTTTAAGATATGGCAAGAGCTTGCTTGAATGAGCTGCATTCAAGAATCTGGGATCACAAGATTTAACTTTACAAATACTCTATGATATTAAGTTTACACTGCTGGTCACATGAAAAAGGAATGTGGTAGATGAAATCTGACAAATAGCCCATCAAAGCTGACAGTACCAGCCATTTCTTCCATTGTACAGGTACTACAGAAGACGATCTGCATGATTGCCAACCTCTAAATCCAAAGAAGCCACACCGTATCATGACAACCAGACATTTGATGAAGGTTGGCATTCACACTCGATAATCCTCCATGAATTTTGGGAATGCTCCAAAAGGCCAAGAGACACCAGCAAAAATCAATGGTCACCTAAAAGCTATTGTCAGCATTTGACAGTGTCCAGATAGTGAGAATATCTTCACAGGTGAATGCTAAAAACCATCTATTAAATTTTAAGCATTTGGTGCAAACATGCTGGCCATCCAGATCAGCAGAAAGCAGAAATTATTTTGCAGCTTTGCAAAATTACTCCTTGAATTACCTTTTAAGAAAACACACATACAACTATCTTGAAGAAGCATTACAGTCTGTATACACAAGGTTGCCTTTTTTGAGCCATGGATTCATGTGCTATTTTTATAAGGTAGTCTTTTCCCAACTTGGTGATCCCCAGCTGTGGATTACAATCCCCACAATCCCCAGGCAGAAAAGCCACTGCCATCCTGGCAGAGCATGGTGGGAGTTGTAGTCCAACACATCTGGGGCATAAGGTTGGGGAAAGATCTTCAAGGAAAGGGATTCATGGTAATTCCAGTGCATCAAGAGTCTCTGGACGAATAAATATACTAAAGCCAAGTTATTTCACATTGAATGTAATTTGTGGGAGCTACTGCCATCCCTTGGAATTTTACAAAAGCAGACTTTTTTTTTGTTCAAGACATCTTCTCCAAGTCCATTTTATTTGGGGAATAAGAAAAGGGGCATCCTTCTTTGTCTTCCTATCAAGCAAATGTCCCCGAATTCAGGGGCTGGTAGCCATTGTCTTCTTTCCTACAAGTCAGCACACAGGCACTGAGCATGCCAAAGAACTGAAAGAGAAAACAATTATTTTAAATATTTTCAGCAATCAAGGCATCTAGGTTCATATGCAGAAGAATTTACCATTCAAATATTTATTTTTGTCTGACATTAAGGCCATTTTTCCAGCCATTAAACTTCCTTTGTGCAAGTAAAAATGACAACCAGTCAGTCAGTCTTTATTTACCTTCTTTAAGAGAGTTCCAGAGTCAGTTCAGAGGCACCTAAACATCACTTCATTATGCACTGACCTAATTTGCATGACTCAACAACTTCATGCTGCTTTATTATGCAGCCCTGGCCACTTTCCATGGAGCATCTTTTTTTTCTCAAACAAGCCCCCGGGACAACCTGTGCTTATGCCAGAGTTTGTTCATGCCACAATAAGTTGGGTCATCTGAACCCAAGAGAGCAATTTCACTGTGGATTGCCACGCTCCGAGCCACACAGCAAGAGAGGTGTTTGTCAGCATTCTAACTTTTTTTCGGTCCACAGAAATTGCACAGATGTGTTTGTAAATAGATTTATCTACTTTTGCTGGTCTTTCGCAAGTGCGCAGGAGTGCACCTGTGGTATGTAGTCTGGCCGGGGCAAATTCCACACGTGTTTCCGCTGTCAAAGGGAGCACCTCTGTCAATGAAACACGGAAGTGTTTACAGGACCTCTGAAAGCAGGCGTAAGAAATATGGAACACTTGTGGAATTGTACCTCTGGCTCTTGCACAGCTCCTTTTTCTGCTGTATGCAACCTCTTGAATGCCACAACTCCATTTGGATTTACCAACAAGTTTTAAGCTTACTTCCAGTCCCAGGTGACTTCCAACCAAGACCCCTGCTTAAATATTTATTTCAGCTTTGGGATGAAATACCTTCATAATGGCAAACGACAGAATGACAATCATCGCATAGCTGAGGACGCCCTGCAGGCCAGACTGCACCTTCTCCTCGCAGCCCTGCAGGGATGCAAAAGGAAGAGATGGTCATAGAAACTAGGTGCCCATGAGCAAAACATTAAAAAGAACCCAAAGCAGATTTGAGAGTCACTTTGTGGGCCAGCAGGAATCCTTCATTACAGCTGAAGAGCAGGATGGCCAAAATCCTCGTCTTTGGCCACGTGGGTTTCCAAGATAGGGTCATTCAAGCTTAATTAATGCTCATAATCATTCGAAGTGGTTTCAGGCCGGGGGCTTCCCTCAGAACAGTTTGGGGAGGGGAACCCCATTGCAGGGAGCTGGTGTGGGTGGAAGGAGAGGAGAGGCAGAGCACCTGGAAAGGATGTGGCACAGGTGAGAAGCAGGAAAAGGAGAAAAGTAGGAGAACAATGATAAGAGCTGCAAAGATGCACAGCTGAAAAGCGCCCCCAAAGCTTCATTCAGCCCGTAATTGAAAGGCTGATTCTGCCTAAAAGAGGTGCAGCCTCCCTGCTGAATAAAGAGGTCTGCGGAAAGACAGAGGCACCCTGCACCAGGCACAGAAGTGCTGCCATGCAGATTGCGACTAAGTGAACGCCACTCCAGCACCCTGTTTCTACAGTGGCCGAGCAAGTGCCTTCGGGGGCCAGGAAGAGGGACACACTGCCAAAGGCCTCTCCAGCTTGTCTTCCTCAGGAGACCGCACTCAGCAGCCTCCTTCCACCAAGCCCGAGCAGTCCATGCAGGGGCTCCCAGGTGTTGGCCCTCCACAAACATGCCTAAGCCCTTTTTGAAGCAACTAGCAGCAGATGCTGTGCCTTGTGGCAGTGGGCTCCACAGGTCAATGATGTCTTGTGTGTGAAGCAAGACGTGCTTCCTGGTGACATTTGTTTTCTTGGGCAAAAGGAAAATGTGCGAGGTGCTGCTTAGTCAGCTTTCGGGGTCCCTTGGAAAGATGTCCACAAGGGTGCTCTTCCCTCAGAAGACTGACTTTCCCGTTGGCATGGTCACCAGCCCCTCCTCACCCTCTTCCACTTGGATGCTGGCCAGGCAGAGAGCAAGGAGGCTGGGTTACCAAAATCTGGTGACCCTGCCAGATGTGCTGGGTCTACAATACCCAAGCAGCCAGTCCCAACACACCTGCAGCATAGCATGTTGGGACAGCTGGAGTCAGCCATGGCATCTCCTGCCTCTCCTTCTCGCCCCCTCCATTGTCTGGACCAGAACAAGGGAAAGTGAGTGCGTCTGTTGCAAAGCTGAAAAGCAGCAGCATCTCCAAGGGTCTCACTCCAAGGTGGGCCCTCGGCCAGCTGCCTCCCCTCGAGGCAAACTTGTGGCCCATTTTAAAAAATTTCCCATATTTTTTATGCAAACGGAGTCATAGTTTTAAAAAAAAACACCTGACTGTAGGCAAAAAACAAAATATGTCTGTTGGGAGGATTTGCAGATTTGGGAGGGTGCATATTTTCAGAGCAAAACTTACAAAAACATTTGCACCAAATCCAATTCTATCAATGAGAAGGCAATGGAACGAAAGACACCATGTCTACAAGCCCCTAGTGGGGAGACCGAGAACCTATCAGTAGCTGGTCTACATCGCTCTGCGGCTTCAATTCCTTTACTCTCATTAACTTCGAATGCAAAATGTCCTTACGTGCAGGTTGAGAAATTCCAGTTTGCTCAGCTGGCCGGTGCAGTTCTTGCCAACATTTTGTTTGCAGCAGCTCAGGGGAACACTGTTGTTGCCGGTGGTGTTGAACCATTTGCTACCGATCCAGTCGGTGTAGTTGTAGACTCCACAGCACTGAAGCTGCAAGAGCAACCCAGTGGAATAAAAGTAAAGCAGGTTTGGGGGTCTCTCATGCTGAAACGTTGCCTTGTTTAAGTCATCTAAAAATACCAGTTCTCTTGGAAGAAAACATGACTACAGTCTCTTTGAAATATTTAATCAGATACTGTAGATGTCTCAACACAAATAAAACTCAGGTGACCTATCAACATTCTGAGAAAACTGATTTTTTTTTTACTTCCAAGGAGACAAGTTACTAGTCCTTATACATACAAAGATCACTTTCCAATACACACACAGAACAGACAATGCAAAAGTCAAACGTATTATACAATTGACATGGGCTTAAAAGAAGCCTGGCAGTAGCAAATAATTGTGACATATTTTACAGTACTGGAGCTATTGTAGCTAAGAACCACTTGGTTTGCTAATCGGTTCATACCAGTGGAAAATGCTGTCTGAAACAAATAGTTACTGAATCCTTTCCCTGAAATATGATGGTGTAACCAGAGAAACTGACCAGTAATTGTTCTTAAAACCCTGGGCTTATTAAAAACATGGGAAGATGCACTCTGACATTTCTTCATCTTTGAACAACATTCCTACCCCGACCCCTCCTTCCTCCAATGTTCAATACACAGTACTGTTTCTCAACACAAAAAGGACAGGTGGGCGAAGCCTGCAAGAGAAACCAGCATTGTTCTGTTTCCAAAACAGACATAACCGGTTGTTCTTCCAGAGGGAGAGTCCCTGAGAATAATTCCGCATCATACATCCCATTTCCCTACCTCCTGCTGTAGGTAATCGACCACGTGAGACTCTTCTGTTTTCCCATCATAGGCCTTGAATGCTTGCAGCATCGGTCCGTGCAAGTCGGTTTTTACCTGTAGGCAGAAAGTGCAGTGCAGCATTCGAACAGCAGCAGGCCCTCTGCTGCTAAAAGGCATCGCTGTATTCCCGCAGCAAGTTAAATGCAAGTGATATTTAAAGCAAGTGTCTTAAACTGCGGTTATTAAATATAAGCAGCAACATCAAACAGTTTCCACCTCTGCAGACACTGACTGGGGTGCTGGGAATGGGCCATGGGGTACCAAGTGACCACCCGGCAAGCAGCAGGTGAGGAGGGCTTCAGAAACAAATCCAATTTTCTGCTTATCATCAGGAGGATGCTGTGATTTAACTTGCATTTAAAATGCAAACATGCGTATGGGTAGGCCTGACATGTCAACAATATGGAAATAGTTTGAACAAATGCAATGGCAGGGGAGAAGAGCAATGTGAGCTTCAAAACTGAAGCAATGCCCATGGCCATCTAAAGCGTAGACCCGGAGGCCATTAAGTCCAGCAAAATCCCCCAGGCAGGCCAGCTGGGAGCTCCGTAAGCCGCTGCCGGCATGGTGTGAAACGGGAACATGCTTGCCATTAAGTAACTGTGCGACACAGAAGGTTCCAGTATGCTCCCCATCACTTTGGGAGAGTAATTAACAATGTCAAGGTCTTTGACCAATCTTTAATGTTTGAAGAACAGGCAACAAATGTAAATTGTGGAAGAATCACACATTGCGGGTCATGGAACTAAAAATGTGGAATCTTTTAGTTCTTCCATCAGTTTACAACAGAAGCAGAGCAGGAAACAGTGTATTGGTTCTGCTGAAACACCTCGCTCCTGCTTTCTCTCAACCATTCTCATTCTGGGTTGTTGTTGTAGGAATTTTTAAATTTAGGAGAGTGCAAAAAACCCTTCCCCTACCTTCAGCAGACCTTCCTAGCCCTTGCCTAACCCTTCCACCAAAACAAAAGCAGGGAAAGACACATGGAGGTTATGGTTGAATGTACTTCAACATTTGTATGTTGGGATCCTCCTCCTCACAAAGAGGTTCATTTTCTTATTTTATCCTTACTTTTAAAACAAGGCCATGGCTTAAAGGCAGGAAACCCAGCAATGGCACACTCCTAGAAAATGAGGCCTCGACAACCATGAGAACAGCACAAAATTGTCAAGATGCTCTATGGAGAAAGAGCCTGCCTCCCGCATGAATTTTAGCTGTGTGTGACATATTACATCGAAAGCACAGCTGGCAGATACATCTGCTTTTTTACTCTGAAGTACCCTCCCCCCACACACATCTAGGTCCTCGTGTTGGAGGAAGGGACTCTGAGCACGTGTTCTCCTCCATGGTCCCCATCCAGATTGTCAACATAAGTTATAGGCGGGGACCAAAGAGTAAGCCATTTATTTTAATCCATGCGTGAAGCGGGCACGGCTCGCCCGTTCTGCACTGGGTCCACAAAGGAGAGGGCAAGGTTTAAGCCCGCTGCACTTCCTTTAGAGCATGCAAGAAGGGCATCGCCGTTATGGTAACGTGTGGTTGGGATCTTCAGCAACTGGGCAGTATATATATTTACTAAAGTGATAAAAGTCTTAGATTCTAAGCCTGTAGGCAACGATCGCTTTGTTGTTAACTGGTCTGGTGAAAGTCACCCTGTCGGCTGATAAGCAGGGTAGGTATGCTTTCAATAAGCAGACAAACGCCATGTTCCAACCCTATCAGCCTTCTCAGGATTGTGCTCCAACGTCCACAAAGGGAATGCAGATCAGGAACAACAGCCTGACTCCTTGACTGGGGAGCAAGGTCAGGCTGCAGGGGCCAATCAGGTTCAGCTACAAAGAGACTCTGCACCTGTCTGGTCAGCACGCGCAGGCAGCAGCTCAGGCAAATCCTAGGTCTGGCCTGGCCATCCACAGCCCCGACAAGCCGAAGCAGGTTGGGAGGCGCTCAGAGCTGGATCGCACCCCCAGCCCGCAGTGCACATGGATATGGTCACCCACCTTTCCTCGGTAAATCACTCCAAGGACGAAGACTGCCACTTCAGCGGTAAAGATCAACAGGATAATGACCAGGAACTGAAGGGAGAAGAGCAGAGAGAGAGAGCTCATGTAGAGGCTTGCATCTTCTTCGGAAAGGTGCTGTGCACAGATGTAAAGTGTGCAATGAAAGCACGTGTGTCAGGCTGGGTGGTGCTTCTGCCCAGCAGGACAGCAGGAGACCAGCTCCCTCCAGGTACTGCTCTGGACTCTTAAAGAGTTGACCAAGCTTGGTCTTCTTCAAGCTGCAATCTCAGGAGCAGCTTCTTTTGGCCCACAGTCTAAGCCAGCCTTCCCCAGCCTGGGGCCAATCAGTCCTTCTCGTCCACCACTCTGCCCACTGGGCATGCTGGCAGGGGAGATGAGAGGTGAAGTCCAAAAGTCTGGCGGACACCACACCGAGGCTGGGCAAGACTGGCCCAGTCAAGACCAATCATCCTCTTTCCTTCCGGAGAGAACCGTTTGCCACACTTCCATCTGCCTGGGAATAAGAGTGCATGTTCCACACCAAGCAATCACCTCTGTATGATGGAATAAGGACCAAAAAGGGCCATTATTTTCAGTGACAAATGGAATACTTACAACGCCCAATCCAACCTTGGACTCACGGATGGTGGCGCAGCAGCCAATCAACCCAATTACAAACATCACCACAGAGATGCAAATAATGATGACTGCTGGCAGGAGAGCGTATTTGTCCTGGAGGAAGGGGTCATACGCCTTGTAGCTGCTGAGAACATATCCACCGACGTAGGAGAGCCCCGCTGCTGCCGCCTTCATAGAGAAACAGAGAGAAAAAGCTGGATCCAAAATGGGTCTACATATAAACGTTAACATGATTATTTAAATCACAGAACAGTAGAGTTGGAAGGGGCCATGAAGGCCATCGAGTCGAACCCCCTGCTGTTGCAGGACAATGGCTGCCCAGTTTCACCTTGAATGCCTCTGGTGTGGGAAAGCCCACCACCTCTCCAGGCGGCTGGTTCCACTGTTGCATTGCTCGGACAGTGAGGAAGCTTTTCCTGATGTCCAGCCTGAATCTGGGTTGTCGCAACTTGAGCAGATTATTCCGTGTCTACACTCTGGCATCAGCAAGAAGAGAGCCTGAGCTTCATTTAACCCTAGCCCTGACCCACCCCAAGTGAACCCAACTGCCTCTTTCCAATACAGTCCCAGACTGACTCCAATCACAGGGCCCAGCCTAGTTTCCATATTGCTGCTAGCTATGCCTGGTAAAATGCAAAGCAACACTAGGTTTCATCTTCTTCACTGGAACTTTGCACAATGCAACCCCCAGCTTCTTATTTCACCAGCCTGGCCTGGGGGGAGCCCTCACTCCCAACAACAGTGACTTCATTTGTTCAGACCTCTTTAAGCTTGCTTGCTCATCGGGCTATTCCTCATTCCATCGCCCAGATCACCCACCAGCCACCAAGCTCTGAAAACTGGTTTTTCTACCCTGTCCTGGTGCATTAAATGCAAGCGCAACAGAGATGAAGAGTTGTTCCGCTCTTATAGGAAGAAGCAAGCATCTGCCGGCAGATGGGTCAGCGGTCTAAACATGAAGCACATCCGGGATGCCTTATCTGCAGGCTATGGCCTCTCTGGGACAGGGAGAACGTGGCCTCAGTGGTGCAGGCGACAGCCTGAAGCCTGGAGTACTGCAATGCACTCTTCTTGGGCTGCCCTTAGGGCTGGTCCAGAAGCTGCAGCCAGAGCAGAATGCAGCACCTCGCTTGATGTTGGGAGGCGACCCTTCCTCCCCATCATGGCTTTGCTGAGGGAACTGCACTCACTGCCTATTCACTACAAAGCCAGGATTAAGGTTTGGCCATTGGTGTAACTGATCCAGCCCCATGAAGGTCCAGCTTTGGACCAGGATACTGGAGAGAGCATCTTCTCCTGCCCAGTCACCAAAGTCATCAGATGAGGCATTCCTGGGGTTTCTGCAGAGTGGTATGTCTGGAAACCCTTTGGAGCAGAGCCTGCAATGTGCTGGCACCCCTTTCTGTGGAACTCCCTGCCTGCTGATGCCAGGCAAGCCTCAGTATTTACTTTTGGGAGCTTGCTGAAGCTATTTAAAGAAGCGTTCCCTGCTTAGCCATCTAGATTTTATTCTTTTTTCATCCTTTTTATTGTTCACTATTCAGAAATGTTCTTGGAAGTTGAACGAAATACCTACCTTGTACATAATGAATAAGAAACAAGCAAAAACTTGAATACTTCTGCATGCAAAGCCCCATTTTCAAATATCGAAAAAACTGAACTTGGAAAGAAAAAGCTGATTGCTCCTAGCCATGAGGGACAGGCGGCCGACTCACAAGACGTACTTGATGATATTAATTTGCCAAAAGTTCAAGACTTCCTCTTCTGCATAACTGCCTTAAAACCCCCAATCCTTTTAAACAGCTTGAGCTACAATCTGATACACACTTGTTGTAAGTAATTCCCACAAAATTCACTGAAGCTTGTTTCCACATCGACATGCCTGATTGCCCTCTTCAAGGTTCATTCTTTTTAAACAGAGGCTGCGGTACAGTTGGTTCCTTCTTCTCATGCAACTAAATTTCCCCAATGGTTTTTAATGTTCAGAAACCCCATAACATTTCCAGTACTTTCCCCAACACCTTTAATAGAGGAAGGCAAAGGGAAGAGACCAAAGACCCAAGGAAAAACAGCCAGATGCCTGCCTGGTTCACACCATCACAACACTATGGATTAAACAGTTTGTGGGCCCAGTTCACACATAACAAGAACCCAGCGCGTGGCTTGAGTATGGTTGCTGAATTGCATGTTGTTATATGGGAATCCTTCACAATGGTTTAACTATGGGTTGCTAGCCATAAACAACCCAGGAAGCCTACGGTTTGTTGTTGCGTTGTAAACCCTGAGTGATTCAGGGTGAACAACCCATAGTTAAACCATGGTACAGAGTTCGTATATAACCTACTATTCAACAATCCATGATTCAACAACAACCCATATTCTGGGCTGTTGTTACGTATGTGCCAAGCATGAACAAAAGCCCAGAATTATAATACAACCATGAACCATAGGTTACAATTTTGGATTGTTTCCTCTTCAACAACCCAGAGTTTCAAATGAGGTTGTTTTGGAAACTTGTTGCAAATTGAAAGTGGCAGGTAAGTTGAATGCAGCATGAACACCTGCTTCCAAAACAACCTATCAACTCAACAACCCATAGGTGGTTGGTACGTGTGAACCAGGTCTTCATCTGGGAATGTTTAAATTTACAAGAAGGAACTACAATCTTTAGACTTTTCACAAAATGGTGGGGGCTCTCTTGGAGAAAGGAATAATCTTGCCAGTATTTGAAACTGAAAAAAAAACTAAGTAGCAATGCTACTTGGGCTTTTCTGTTCTTGACTGACACAAACTCAACAGAATTATAACAATGTGAAATTACTGACTGGAGCAGGGGCAGGGGGACCCTGAGGGAAGGGGCTATTCCAGATTTCTTTTTGAGATTTTCCTTGAATTTGGACTAATAAATGTGAAACAGTTATAATTAAGTATAGATTGATTCTTGATGTCTCTAAAGCTGTTAGTCCTAGAGTTGCAAAAGAGTGTGTAAAGAATAAATATGAAGAGAGGGATCTTTTGCTAACTAGATGTCACGCCTTTAAAATACAGTTCTATTGTTTTACTATTCTGTTAAATCTGATTGGCTCTATGAAATCACTTATATGAGTTATCTGTCAGTCTGGTGTAGAAAGCATTTGCCACTCTGAGATTGTAAAGCACGGTCTCCGGCATAATAAGCAAGGAGATATATCAAATCCCCGTAAACTTCCATATATGTTTTTGAGACCAGAAACAAGTGGAAGACTACATTCATTATGCGTGGCATTGTTCATTATATTATTATCTGCGTTTTCCCCCAGGATAACTTTCTGAAAGTGATTCTAGACAAAGTTCCTGTTTTGAAGTTAACAGCTCTATTGAGCAGGCAAATACAAACGGTCAGGGCATTTTAAGCATATCAGGAACTGAGGAAATCCCCCCACCCACCAGCTCCCAAGAACGCAAATCCTGTCCCTTGAAGTGCCATTTTAAGCCTGCCAGTTTCTATTTAGGGAAAGCAAGATGCAGATGTTGGTGCAGAGCATGCTCTTTAGCCTGTGTGGTTTAGGATTTGCCATTCTATTCTAAGGAAAACCTCTGCCTGGATAACCTATATGGCTTAATTCGATCTTACTTATATAGTTGTATTATATCACTATTATATTACTTATATCATTCAATGTAATAATAGATGTTACTTTAAGGAGTTTCATGGCTTTCAAGCTTTCACATGCAGACCTGGGCAGTGAGGATACTTAAAATGTGTGAGTGTTTGCAATTACAATTGTTTCTAGAATATATTTGACCTGTGAGCTAAACTCCATTTCCTGCTGGAATTCTTTTCCTTCCCTGGCAGCCCTGCCTTTTACACTAGGACAGATTAAAAAATATATAAGTCCAAGGTCCTGGATAGAAAAAGGTTTTCCAAGAAGTCTATTCTTTTGGGCTCTTACATAAAGTTGTAGAAGCCTGCACTTGAGGACGTCTGAAACTTCGATTCTAGATAGGATTATGAAGGTCAGATCCTGGTGACTGAACCCCAACAGGGTAAGGATGCCTGACACTGGGCTTAACAGACGATAGAAGGGCAGATTAATAATTTATTTTTTATTTATTTAAAACATTTCTATGCTGCCCCCATCGCAACAAAGCCTCAGGGCGGCTCACAATGTAATTAAAAACATATAAATAACACTAAATACAATAAAGATTAAAAAGCCCGGTAACATCTCGGCTAAAAATTTAAAATCCTATAAATACATAATAAATTAAAAATTAAAATAAGTTTTAAATAAAAAAAGTCAGCTTGGCGCCGAAAAACAAATAACGACAGCGCCAGGCGGACCTCTCTGGGGAGTGCATTCCATAGATGGGGCGCCACCGCAGAGAAGGCCCTCCTCCGGGTACTCACCCTCCTAATCTCATTCAAGGAGGGTTCCCGGAGAGGGCATCTGTTGCCGATCTCAAGGGGCGGGAGGGCATATATGGGCGCAAGCGCTGCTTTAGATAAGGGGAAGGGATGAGGTGCTCAAAGGATGGTGCCACACTCATTGCATGTGGTGAGAGAGCTGATGGAAAAGATGGTTAAAAGAAATTGTGAAACACCTCGGCTCAAAAGTTCATGAGGCAGAAAAGGTCAGCAGACAAGGGAGCTGCACTGAAAATCCATGGCTGAAAATAGTGAAGGCACAAAATGCAGAAAGTAGCAAATTCCTGATCCTTTTACTTATGATGTAGACCATGATTGCCTTGGTGAAAAGTGGCTGCATATTCATGGCCAACTGGTTGTTAACCAGTCTCGCTGGCACCCACTTATTATTATTACAGTTATGCCCTGCCTTTTTCCTCTTGCAAGGAACCCGAGCTGGCTTGCATACTATCCTCACAACAACCCTATGAGGTAGGCTGGGCTGAGAGTCAGTGACTGACCCAAAGTCACCCAGTAAGCTTCATGAGGACTAGAACCTGGAGCTCCCAGCTCTGCAATCCAGCATTCTAATCACCACACCACACCGGCTTTCAGAGAGTGTTTATGCATGAAGATTCTCAACCACCAACATTTAGTTCTGTACTTTCTGACCTACACTAAGCGATGGTGTTTCTTAGAGAGAAATGTTAGAGTGCATCAAAGCCGTAGAACTAGAAGGTATTGGAAATGGTTTGATGTGTGGCATTCAGTATCCAGACTG